CACACACACACACACACACACACACACACAGTCACTGTTCATGTCTCTAAATAAATGTATATTATACATTTTATAAAGAACTACTTTTACCACTAGGATGAATTTCTTATTAGGAACATGGATAATTTTTATTTACTTGTTTGTGCTTTTTGCCATGAATATGTATTTTATTATCAGAAAAAATGTGCAAGGGATTCCCTTTAGTCCCAAGGGATCCAAGTCCCAAAGGAGTATGGGGCTTAAGGGACATCCTTCCCCTCTCTGCCTGGCTTCTCCAGGAGAGGAGCGCCGGCCGCTGCTTCACCTCTGTTGTGAAAGCGCGTGCAGCAACATGGCTCGGTCTTTGTTTTGAACAGATCCAAACAACCCAATGCCAGTAAACTTTTCATTGCCTTCACCAAGATTGTTCTCCTTTTTCTCTGCAGCTGCACGAGAAGTTTGACCTCCTAAAGCGGACACACCAAGAAGAAAAGAAGAAAGTGGAAGATAAGAAGAAGGAGCTGGAGGAGGAGGTGAACAATTTCCAGAAGAAGAAAGCAGCAGCTCAGCTACTCCAGTCCCAGGCCCAGCAGCCTGGGGCCCAGCAAACCAAGAAAGACAAGGATAAGAAAAAGTAAGCGGGTGTCACCCCCACGCATGGGGGGCCCTCTAACAATTTATTCCTCATGCATGTATGTCTCTACTTTTCCCATTTACAGACTGGAAACTGGTCTGTTACCAGAAAGATAAAGCCAAGTATTTCATCCACAGTGCAGGGAAGTTGCTAAAGGTTTTTAAAGTATTTCTAAAGGGTACATTAATGTTAATTTATAAAACTTGACCACATGATCAAGCAGTCAGGATTGGAGTAACCTGTCGTCTCCGGTAGCGTCTTCTGCACCAGTACTAGGACTTTCGAGAAGAAAGTTTATTTCTCTTCACTACTCGTTGGAGACAGTCCTCGTAACTCCTGATAAAGAGCATCCTCAAATTATGATTGTTAAAATTATTTTTCTACTCTGTGTTGTAAGGCTTTGTTAAGCCAGCCATTGTTTCCAAAATGAAAGATGTGAAAGAACTGCCACTAGTTTTCCTCTAAATTCAATAAGATGATGAATTATTTTTTTGTGAAAATGGGATCACAATCCCATCCAGGAAAGACACCTCTACAACCCTCAAGACACATGTATACGCGCCCACTCAGTCAAACACACACACACACACACACACCAAATTAAATTTTATAATATAATTTTAAATCATATTTTAAAGTATGGCCTTGATTTAATGTGCCGAAGGGTCAGATTCTGTTCTTGTGTTGGTCACTTCCCATGATGCTCCACAGGCAGCTGCCTGAATCCAGTGGGAGATTTGGGTCTTCCTTGACGTTCTCCTGGGGTGTGAAGTGCTGTGTCAAATCACCTTACAGACTAGACAGTGCAGTTGTATGACAGTCACTGTTGGTTTGACAGGAAGCACAGCGGCGGGTAAGACACCTCTGAGGAGAGAAAACCTCTGTGGTGCCCAGATGCATTCCTCTGTCTGTTGAACTTGCCGTGCTCTTAAGGCAGCTAATAAGGCAGCTCAACATGGCTCACCTGAGATGTGCTCAAGTTCGAGAAGGAAAGCTGACAATAAAGTAAACAAAAAGAATGTTGGTACTCGAGCAGGCAGAGTTACATTCTTAAAAAACGTAGCCTGTAGGATTGTGTCTGCACAGAAACTGAGACCTGTCACAGGGAAGTGAGCACCGGTGTGGCATTCACTTTGTCTGAAGGATCATGCAGGCTCACCCCTGAGGAATCCTGTTACATCGCCTGTGGGAGAAGTCAAAATACACTGCTACAGTGACCCATGGAGAAGAGGTCTAGATTATACTGTACAAACTTTACGAGACAGCAGAGAAGATGTCAGAAAATGAGAGCAAAGGAGCAGGCACATTTCCTAGGCAATCGAAAGTAGTTGGTGTAGGTGAGGTGTGATTTGAATGGGGTTAGTCCAGACCCCAAGTGATCAAAGGACTACAAGGGCGAAAAAGTTAGTTATTCTGGATTAATTTTGAAAGTAACAATTTCCTTGATTATAATCCAGTTCAAGAAAGCACGTTGTAGCTACGCAAGTTGGGCAAGCGTCGGTCACTAATGGTAACTACGTTCCCCATGCAGAGATTCAGAGTACAGTGACCCTCCCAGTGGAGACAAAATGAAAGCCATTTGGCATCATACTGTTGTTGACAGAAACTCACCCAAGATAAAAATAGGTGTGTGTGCGCGCACATGCGCGGCACACGCACACGCATATGAATGAACCAGAAAAAGCTGCTGACTCACAGCTTAGGAAACCCAAAGTCAAGTTTTTCTTACCCTGAAGCACTAAAGTACATAAAGGTACATATTTTAGAACTCAAAATGTTTATAGAAGACCAGCAGTGTTCCAAGGACATTTCATGTATACTGGATGTGCCTTTAAGCAATAAAAATTCCAAGAGCTGATCAGTATTGTGCCTCCATTTTCAAAAGTCGCTCTAGGAACAGATGTCCCAGCATACAGATGTTTTTCCTTGCCCATTTGAATATTTTAGGTTATTTTCTTCCCAACCTTGGGCCTTAGCAGTGTATAATGCTTTTTGAGTTATGTGAAGTATGTGTGAGTTCTGTTTTAACCTTATTTATACCTTCTGATTTTTTATTAATGGGATTAGACTTAATTTGGTGAATAGTCACCAGGTTTTGTGCCTGGCGATGGCATATATTTTTTGGTAACTTCTGGGTTCTTACCCTTTTCCACACTTTCCCACTTGAACAGTGAAAACAACTGCCAGCTGGAGTCCTAAAGTGTAAAAGTTTAAAAGACAAAAAAAAAACAACAAACCCACCACTCCTCTTACGGCCAGTGGAGAGTTTTGGTTAGAGAGGACCACAGAAAGACAGTAACCAGGGTAACCAGAGCAGCACTTTGAAAATAAATGGGAGACTCTTCACTCCTCATGTAGCCAGAGGAGATGCAGGAGTCACCATATGTGCCCTTAGGAGCTGGCTTTGGTCTAGGGAGAAAATTTAAAAAAAAGGAAAGAGAGAGCGAGAGAGAGAGAAAGAGGTGCTTATTTATTCGTCTGTTATGTTTCCACCTCAGAGCTTAACTTAGTTTTTCTAATAGTTTTAAATTCTGTTTTTTTTTTTATTTTAATGACATGCTCCCTTTTTAACATAGGTAAGGCTTTTATACTTCTCCTTGACCTGTAGTGTGGCATGAGAACATATAACATTTCCTAAGATTACAAAGTAGAACTAACCCTGGCACTGCCATTAGCTGGACCCCACCTCTTGCCATCTCTGGCCACCAAGTCGCTTTCCTTGTTTGCGGCTGCACCACAGTGGTGGGACTGCCTGAGGGTAAGTCGTTCAGTGGACAGCGTTCATCTTCTCTGAAAACTTTGCACAACTGCCAGCCGGCATTTGCTGGTTAAGAGGCATCCATCCCAAAAGAAAGTTTTAAAATCCATCATTTAAAACTGTACCTGGCATCTGATAACTATAGTTGACACAATCATCCACTCATCTTTTTTTTTTTTTTCTTTAAAAAAAAATCATTTGATTCTTGCTAAGGAATGAAGTTGCATGTTTTGGACTTGCCTACAGTTAGACATGTGGGTCTTGGATTTGGCACAGCCTTGAACCTGAAAGAGGGGGAAAGCTCTGGCATTACTGTAGTGATAATCATGTAATGATTGTCCTTTTTTCTTCCTCCCCAAGTAGATTAATAGCATGTCCTCCATCCACTGTATTCCAATCCCCAAGTTAATTGTTCCAAGTCATTTACCGTGTATTTATTCTCTGACTCCAGCAGCTCAGAAATGGAAGACGCAGCCCCTGTTCAGTACCAATGTGACGCCCAAATCTAATATGTAATGGTTTTGTGTTATTGGAGAAAATGAAAATCAAACCGTAAATCCTTCCACTAGAACATGCAGTGGTTTCAAGAAGTCACTTGCGAATTCCCAGTTCCATGCAAACGGAAACTAACCACGTGTTCTTTAATTCAGTATGAAATACTGTTGCTTTTGCTTGTCACGTAGAATAGCTTACTCAAATTTTTGGTTTTAATTTCTGTCGATTCCATAATCATTGCATGAGCATTTACCATCACCGAATGCTGGTGCTGGCGCTCCTAATTTTCCTTTCTTTTTTTATTTATTATTATTTCTAACTTTTTTGTTTTGTTTTTTAACTTGCAGTGCAAGCTTCACATAAAGCCTGGCAAGCCAAGGATGGTCCCGCATTCACCTGCTTTTGCAGTAATATTGTATCTCTGCCATCTGTGTCCTTTTGTTTTTTGTTTTTTTTTTTACACCCTTCCCCAGACACCAATAACTATTAACTCATTTTGCTGAATGTTGTTGGGTGGTGGAAAATGATAGAACAAGGGAATAACAACAAAAGCTGTGTGCCGCTGGACTGTGTTTCTGGAAAGTACATGATTTGCCTTGTATGCCTGTTCCCAGTGGCAGCAGGAAGCATGCCTGTTACTTGTATGTTGCTTTGGACTGAGGGAAGGAGGGTAAATTGCTACGTGTACGTCTGGCAGGAAAACTTCGCACCGCCTCAGCAGCTGAACTATAAACCTGAATAGTCATGACAACAACTTGCTTTTCTTGATTATTCATCTCCATGATGGCAAGAGCCCTGAACTCACTCTCTCTCTTCTCCACACCTGCCCCAAACCCAAGGTAGCTTTGTATGTAGGCAGGACAGTAGGTAAGCGTTACGTGACTTTTATACTTGCATGGATTTATTAGAATAACATTATTTGGCCCGGGTTGTAAGTCTGTTCAGACAGACTGTCTCCTCTCATAGCTTTAAAAATGTTTCTGAACCCCTATCTCAAATTCTGGCCAAGTTGGACATAATAAGAAAACGATGGTTATGTTCACTTTTATCAGTGCAACCTTGATCCTCTCACAGATGGCAATCTCAAAGGCCGAATCATACAACATTGCTTAGTAGAAGAATCTACTAAGGTTGATGGGCTTTCTGTAACCTATTAACTACTAACAATTAGCAATTGTTAGTGCTAAAAAAAACACCTAAATTTGCTCTCACTGGGCTGAGAGGGAGGGCCTGAGGGTTGATGCCAGGCTGGCAGAACTTTTAATGACATTTTTCAGTAATCCTGAGGAGAAAAGTTTTCAGAAATCCTTCAAATAGAAAATTGGTTGTAAACTGTGCAGCACAAATTTGAGGGGACCTTGCCAATGTCAGGCAGACATGGGAAGGAATATAACACAAACCTGCGAGTCTAAGAAAACAGAAATAGAGCTTCACATCCAGCCTCCTTGCAGAGAGTCCTTTCGATATTCAACAATAAAGGAAAGAAGAAACAGCAGTCGGTTTTTCAAATCCAGTTGTTTTGAAGGAATTGCTTCAACCTTTCCTCTCAGCACAGCTAGTGCCACTTGGTCTTTATGTCCAAGGTTCATCGCTCCAACAGTGACGATTAGGACTAACCCATATGCCAGGACATAGACTACATCCCAAATCTGTGTGAGAAGGGGTATAGTTCATCTCTTGTCTGTACTGCTCCCTTGTGAGGCTTACTGATTTTCATCTTGAACCCCCCACCCCCACCCTCCACTAACAAGGTCTTCCAAGCTTTCTCTCTAACTCTCTAGTCTCTTGTTTCTTCCTTGAAAGACTAACATTTCTCATGAACCTCATACTTCTGCCTTTCCTTCTGGCCTTCACGAGTCATACCTTAAGTAAATGGGATAGAATACTGTACCTCCCTGACACACACCAACACACATTTTTAAAAAATTAAGTCTGTAGGTGATTCCAATAAAGATTTTTTTTTCCTTCTCTTCATCCTCAAACATACTCTTACAGGAAAGAAGGAGTGGTTTTCCATGAGCTAATTTAGGCTTAATTAGGCTAAGTAAGAAATCAGTTTCCTTGAAGCCCAAACTGATTCAAGATAGAAAGAGCGAACGCGGAGCAGCAATAGTGGTATAAAGACAGATTCAGGAGTGGCTGAACCAGGGTTTTTGGTTTTGCTTTTGTGTTTTTAATGATTCTAATGTGATGCTAGCTGTGGAGCAGCCGAGGGTTAGATGGCATGCCGACTTCTAACCGTGGGCTGAGTTTGCTTGTACGCTGCGCACCATACAAACGCTTCAGTACGTGTGCTGTGTGCTTGTCCCAACCACCGCTTGTGTGAACATTTTTTGTGCCTTGAAACAGAAAACACACTTTTAAATCCTAAAAACGCATCAACTTTAAAATGGTCATTTTTAATGCGTACTAAAGCCTCTTTATAGTGAGCTTAGTCGTCAAAGGCATCCAGCTGACTTTTTGATTCCAAGATTATTGATTAATGGGATTGATCTTTTTTCCATTAAATTTTTCACAGTCAAATAAAAATCATATGGCGAGTCAGGGAATAAAACGTCCAAAGAAATATACAGAATATACTAGCTTTTTTTCAAATGCGTTGCTTCTGACCTCTTTTCTACCCCTGCTCCCGGCCCTGTTCAGTTTGTTATTGCTGCCCTTCTCTTCTTTCTGTATCTGTGCCTTTTTTCACAGTAGTCCTTGGCTCTGCACGGAATAAATGGTATCCTCAAATCTAATTGGATGTGCTTTCGCCTTTGCATGTAAGTACGCTAGTAAGAAACCTTTGAGATCTTTCACTTTTTAAAAGGAGAGATATAACTGGGACAGATGGCTTTGGTTTTATTTTTAGGGGCGGGAGGGCAGGGAGGTAATGGTTTGAGTAGCTTTTGGTTTAAAAATAAAAACTGAATATATTTAAAATGGCCACATTTATATCTTTTTCACCAGAAACACATAAATTCGGTTTTTCCTTGATATCAGTATAGAAGTCAGAAATGACTCATCCCAGTCTGTGTTCCATGCAGCATCCTAGGTGTCATTGGGTATTACAGAGGGTCCTTGGTTCTGACTGTAAATAAAGCTAGAATGAGAAACTACTACCTTGCACTGGATAAAATCAAGAGGAAAAATGTTTTCATGCTAGGCTGCCTCTAGACTGCTTGATTTTTTTGGTGATCTTGGTCGAATGGTCTTGCCCTGGTGCTAACTGCTGGCAGTGGACACTTTTTTTTTTGGCCAGAGAGCTCTAGCTGGCCTCTCCCCACATCTTTTGTTCAACCATAATGGCCATCTTTTTGCATCATCCAGACTTAGATACCCATAACCCTTATACTTGTGTGTGCAGTAGGATGTGATGGGAAAACATCTATGAGAAGTTATTGGCAGTTCAGAGACTATGTTTTCCAGCTCAGGCTCTTGCTAAATTGGCCAAGGTTTTGTCCAGAAAGGGCATCTCAACCAGGGGAAACATTGAACGTAAAGCTAGACGCAGGTTATTTATTATCTTCCTCCTCTGCTTTGTAATCTCACCAGCAGTAACACGTATTCTTCCTAACAAACAGACTTGGTGTCCTCACTTTCTTGACATACCATAAGTGTTTCACATCCAAACTGCTGAATCAGGTTTTTCAGCTGTTACCAGCCCCCATCATACCGTCTCTGTGTGGTCCTGCCAAAACCGTCCATTCATTTCCTTTGGCTTTGCCGTTTGCAAGTGTCTGAAATTGTCGAGTTTCAGCTTCCAGAAGTCTTGGTTCCATTGACAGGCTACATATGCGATGACCCTTTAGTGGAAATCATGACCTACAAAGTCTAGATTGTATGTAGGTATGAAGGGAATTTTTAAAATAAATTGAAAACTTAAGCTGTGAACAGCATTAGAACTTTGTCTATTTCTTAATAATTTTAAAATATGCTGATATGCCTTAAACTGTAGTTGTAGATCATTGTCATTTTGCTGTTTGAAAATAACCAATGTGTTTCTAAAACTGTTGTGTAATCTACTTTTAGTAATGCAGAATTGTCATATATGTAAGCTGCATGTTAGACACTTGTCTTTTTTAAAAAAAAAACGAAAATAATTGTATTGATGTGAAGCATATCATTTTTTTTTCAAGTATGAAAGTAATCGCTGAGCAAACATGCTCAGCAGCGTGGTGTCTGTTCAGGTAGGCGAGTGGTGGACAGGTAATCTATGCATATATCACTAGTGCCAAGACATAAAGTGGGGGAAATATATTTTTACCCAAACATTGTGTGCCCTTTTGTGAGTTCTTTTTAATCACTGTTTGATATGCATATGTACCCATGCTGATTATATTGGATAAAAGGAATAGGGAACAAAGAGTCTCGTGCTTTCCTGCCTTGTCTGGTGGACTTGAAACACTACCCTCTGGGCAGCATGTTTCTCCAAGATACTTCCCATGTAGCATCCTGTACTTCACAGACCGTCTCTGCCACCTTTATCCCCCGTTCCCATACCCTTCCGTCCTGATGGGCATCCCCTGGCACCCCACGACCCCCACGTCCAGCTGAGGCATCGTCTTCCCTGGCCTCTGCTGCCCAGCGCTGCTGCTGAAGGAGTCATCCCTTTAACTGACACACTGCTGTTCTTTCACAGTTCATTGTAGAGAAGCTCCTGTATTTTTTTTTCTTTTTTAAGCCTTTAAGAATCAAATTTGAACCTGAAACTTTCTTTTTTCTCTTCTGTAGCTTCTTCTTTATGTAACCATCCTGTTGACAAGCCCTACTCTCTCCTAATGGACATAAAGCATTAGAAGAGCAGGAGCTGTCTGTTCACACGTGTTGGGGAAGAGTTACCTCATTTCCACCATCGCCTCCTTTTAAAAGTCTGGGTCAAATATTGCACCACTGTTTGTATCTGTCAATGTCTGTTTACAAACCACTACCCGTTTCAGTGGTTACTAACGTGACATATCACTACCAAAAAGAAAAGTGTTTAATACCACTAAAAAGGAAATTGAGGGCAACAGAGAACTTGGGCCAAGACCCAAGATAGCCAGCCATGTATTGGGATCCAAGAACTCCTGGACTGAAGACGGCATGTACCCTAATCTGAGGTGGCCACCACCTCCAGGGTCCACAAACGTGATCTCTTGTTAACTCTAGACCTCTCTGTCCTATGAGCAACATTCTGAACAGCCCCCTCAGGACCCTCACCCATCAATCAGGTCATAAGATCTGGACAACATCTTCCTTCCTTTTTGTTAGTTTTATGGGTTGTTTTGGAGTTTAGGGTTTTTTGTTTTTTTTTTAACAGTTGGTATTGCATGAACAGAGATGGCTGCGTTTTTTTTTTGTTTTTTTTTAATTTGGAGTGTTCTATTGATACAATGTTTTTATTTTTCAGCTGACCATCTGCCTCTTGAGAGAGAAGTGGGCATCCTTCCTTTAAATTCAGGAACCATTGTTGTTTTGACTCTTTTTTTCTGTTACCTGCATTCTTTATATAGTTGTTTGGGGTTGTGGATTCTGTTTTGGAAAAAAGATTATTTCCAGTTAGTCAGTTCTGTTTTATGTATTGGTTATTCAAACTTAAGTTTGGTATCAAAATGAAGCCAATGTTAAGCTCAAGGGGAAGTTAAATGAAGCTCAAGTCACAATTCTGTTTAAAATGCTCTCGTCATCTCAGATACCACCAAAAAAATCCCTTTACTGTCACTGGGGTTTTGACCTCCAAGTCTTAAGTCATGTTTAAAATGTGCCAGTATTGGGTAGATGACTTTTCTGCCTCTGGGACTTGATTTATATTTAAAGGTACCTTCAAATAACTTGCTTGGCCCCTCCTGCCTTTTTATTTATTGTGAAGCTCTGCTTTTACTTTGTGTCCAGAGTTGTGCTTGGACCATGAGAAACAAACCTCAAACAAGTACATATCCTGTCCCAAACAACAGGGTCTTTAGCAATGGTTCTGGTCTCAGAGTTACCCAGGTGGCTTTCTCCACTATGTCTGCCAAAAAATATGGGAATCACTTAAAATATACCTATATACAAACACACACACTTCTGCCACTAGAGTTTGTGATTTCTAATGGGATTGAAGGTTAATCTGGAGACCTGTTTGTGACAGGCTAGATTACTTTATCAGCAGTCACCTCTTAAGGGTGGTTTTCATAGTTAAGGGACAGTTTTCAATTCCATTTCTATTGGGTTGTCAGAAAAGTCATGACACATTTTTGCAATGAAAAACATAGAAAAAGAGCCAGCCGAGTGGTGCATTGGTTAAGAGCTGGCTTGGGACACCAGCTCTGAGCAGCAGGGCCCCGGTTCGAATCCCACGAGGGCCAGTGATGCTGCGCCCTCTACACTAAGATGCTGAACAACAGCTCGACCTGGAGCTGGGCTGCTGTGAGTTCTGGCAATGGCGTAGGCTGCAGCCCCTGCTGCAGTGGGCTGCTGTAAGCTACGTGAGTGGCCGTCCAATGGCCGGCGACTGACCTGCCTCAGCCAGGAAGAGTGCAACAATCACAATACCGACATGGGCCAATGAAGCGATGTCCTCCACAACTAGACTGAAGAACAAAAAAAGGACAGCAACTTGTCTGTTCCCCTTCCCCCAATTCCCCAGCGTTCTCCTCCTTCAATTCCCCAATTAAAAAAAAAATACCTCATGACTTATGACAACCCAATATTTTAGAGCATGAACATGCATTTTAAGTTTACCTTTTAATTTCATTCCTTGGCTGGTCTTTGCCTATTTCCATCGTTTTTCAGCCACATAGTACGTAGATCACAAAAATACTATTGGTGGCATGAGTTGTATTTGGTGACAATCTTAGGAGTGTCCTCTCTACTTCATAATGGTCACATAGGCTTCTATCAAAAGGTGAAACGACGAAGCAACAGTCCGTGCCTCTTGAATCATTTGATTGTTGGCAAGAGGTTGTTTAGAGCAATTAGACGAGCATGCTCGCAAGAGGCTTTTTTTTTTACTTAGACACTG